TAATAATAATAATAATAATAATAATAATAATAATAATAATAATAATAATAATAATAATAAAAATTAAAGCCAGAATAGAAAAATCTGCTGATGACCCCAAATGCAGACTCTGCAAAGAAGCTGATGAATTGATCACATACTGAGCTGTTGCAAGACAATAGCTCAGACTGACTACGAACAACATCACAATACAGTCACTCAGATGGTCCACTGGAACTTGTGTCACAACTACCATCTGTTTGTAGCAAAGAACTGGTGGGATCATAAGCCTGAGAACATGGTCGAAAATGAGCATGCAAAACTACTGTGGACTTCTGAAAAAAGACTGACAAAGTTTTGGAACGCAATACCCCAGATATCAACATTGTGGAGAAGAAAAAAGTGTGGATCGTCGACATTGCCATACCTGGTGACAGCAGAATCGACGAGAAACAACTTGAAAAAAATCACCAGATATCAGGACTTGAGAATCGAACTGCAGAGACTCTGGCATAGACCAGTGCAGGTGGTTCCAGTGGTACTGGGCACACTGGGTGCTGTACCTAAAGACCTAGGCAAGCACCTAAAAACAATTGGCGCTGATAAGATCACCACTGGTCAGCTGCAGACGGCCACCTTACTGGAATCTGCTCGCATAATCCGCCGATACATCACGCAGTCCTAAACGCTTGGGAAGGGTTCAACTAGTGATTTGTGATACGAAACCCGGCATAGTTATCTCCTTTGCTGTGCACAGTGTTGTTTTTTGTGTCTAATAATAAGACGAGGAGGAGGAGGAGGACGAGAATATGGAAACTCTAAATACGACTGAAGGTGAAAATAAATGCATTGAGAAAGATATGCAGATGGTCCTCGACTTACAACAGTTCAATTAGTGACCGTTTAACGTTACAAGGCCACTGAAAAAAGTTGACTTATGACTTACGGTCGTAGGTTCTTCACACTTACAACCGTTGCAACATTCCCATGGTCACATGATCAATTTTCCCCCTGACTCGTATTTACGATGGCTGCAATGTCCTGGAGTCACACAAAATCCCGTTTTGTGACCTTCCGACAAAATGCCAATGAGGAAGCCAGATTCACTTAAGAGCCATGTTATTAACTTAAGAACTGTGGTGATTCACTTAACAACTATGGCGAGAAAAGCCGTAAAATGGGGCCAAAGCTCGCTTAACAAATCTCTCGCTTAGCAACAAAAAACAAAAAAAAAACCAGGGCTCCACTGGGTTCGTAAGTGGAGGACTACATGTAATGCGATCATATCGATTTTTAAAAACAAGGGTTTGCGCTGCTGATATGTAGAAAAACAAACTATAAACAAGGATGCCCGGGATATGATGATACCGCTCATCTTCCATTACAAGGTGAAAGGATACCGATTGATAAAACCATCTCACCTACCATTATACAGCAACTGAGACAGACAGAAAAGGACCTCAGAATAAGCAAAGCAAGGAAGATAATGTCACAAGCAGAACGGGTTGTGGTTGAATCATATTGAAAATTCAGTCTCCGAAACACTCAGGTGTTACGCTAAAATTTGGGGAGAGGAACCCTGATTGCTACAGCAGAACAAAGAAATATAAAGTACTGCCTTAAATCAATTGTCCGTCAGGTTCAGAAGGGAGGGGATCGTTGCACCATACAATAACACACACACACCCCCATAACTTGTACCTTACAAAGCACAAGAGCTGGAAGCCAGTTGCTGAACAGCAGCAGAATTCTGACTGCAGAAACCCAGTAAATTCTGGCAGAATTCTGGGATCAATCACTCGGAATGCATTATAAGGAAATGTGCAGTTTATTACTGAGTTACAGCCCTCCCCTTAAAGATTCAGCTAGAGGAAACCCAAAAAGTAAACACAGAAAGTCTACCCTCTATAAACTGAGATTGCTGCAGTGCTGTCCTTCGACTGTACACCAGCTCTTTCAATAAGTAAACAAGCCTTTCAACGGTGCCTCCGCTGAAAACAATGATCTGCACAAAGAGGATGCCAGTAACTGAAATATCAAAACACTTAAGCATTAAATGCAGAACGCAAGCTTTTCCTCTTGAGCAAATAAGCAAATTCTCCCCATTCCTGGCAGCCTTTCTCTGGACAGGAAAATGTGCTTATATACTAGGGCATCCGCACGTAAAGCATTGCAAAATACATGCGTTCCTTTGATTAAGAGAACATACTTTTGTTGCATATGGCCCTGACCTGTATATCTGTGTCTTTTACAGGCTCTAAAGGTTCGAATGTTGTGGCAGCGCTCAAACTCTCCAAGCGCTGAGATATGTGGGATATATCGAGCCCTCTGGATCCAAGAAGAACTGATCTAGAAGACAGATAAAAACAAAACAAAGGATGAGAGGCACAGAGATAATAAAACAAGGCAACAGAGTCATTCCTCCCAAAGCAGAATTTAAATCCAGAGGCCCGATTAGCATAATGGAAGTGGTCCTTGACTTACAAACATGCGAAATTATAATGGCATAATGACACCGGTCCTCATATTTACGACTGCTGTCGCATCCCCATGGTCACACGATCAAAACTGAGGCACATGTATTTAGGATGGCACTGCAGCATCCTGGGGCCATGTGATCATATTTGCGACCTTCCCAGCTAGATTTCAACAAGCCGAATCAATCGCGTGAAGTCAGATTCACTTTAACAACTGGATGTTATCGTTTAACAATTGTAGAGATTAACTTAACAACCTTGGCAAAAAAAAAAAAGTGGTAAAATTGGGTGTGGCTGACTTAACAACCGCCTGGTTGTTGACTTTGCTCGTCGGACAGTCGCAAAAGTGACCCAGGGACATTACAACCGCTATAGATATAACCAGCTGTCAAACAGTCATAAGTCATTTTTTTCAGTGCTGCTGTGACTTTGAAGGGTTACTAAATGAACTGTTGTAAGTCGAGGATTACCTGTGCTTAGGAAATAGGTGTGATAAGACCAGAAGAGATGGATGGGTGATGGATGGAATGCAAAAATGAGTGAAAGAAGTACACTGAGGCAGTTTGGTCAGATAGAAAGAATGAATGATTGAATTGAAAAATATATACAGGTAATCCTTGACTTACAACCGTAACTGGGACCAGAATTTCTGTTGTTAAGCTAGGTGGGTTGTTAAGTCACACACCCGATTTTGCAACCTTTTTTTTTTATTGCCATGGTTGCTAAGCAAACCACTTTAGCGAATCGTATGGTAGTTACAACAAGAAGTGATAGTACCACTTTGTATCATACTGGTTAGAAGAATTGGAATTGTTTTTTTTAATAATTTTTATTAATTTTTTCCACATTTAAAAACATTTCATATACAATCTTCGCAGTTTTGTGATATCAACTTTTCCATTTGGGTCAATATACATATATATATTATTTTTTATTCCAACAATCTAACCAATTTTGCCATTTCTCCCTGACCATATAATATTCCATATCTTCTTTATCTTGCAATTCCAATGTTTGAACATTTCTGCACAATCCATTATTTTCTTTATCATACTATCAGTAGGAATACTATCCAGTTTCCAACTCTGTGCATAAGTAATTCTTGCCGCTGTCAGTACATGTATTATATTTAATTTCTTTCTTAAATACTCTAATTATACCTTAAAGAAACATTTCAGGCTTAAGTCCTATTGGGAGACTGGTAATTTCCTGCAACCATTTCCTTATTTTGTTCCAATATTTTTTTTGCTTTGGGGCAGGACCCATTCTATTTGTAGAATTAGAATTCTTTATTGGCCAAGTGAGATTAGACACACAAGGGATTTGTCTCCAGTGCATAAGCTCTCAGTGTACATGCAATGACTGATCATTATCACAGTCATCGTAAAAATACATTCATCATAAAACATTGGATACAACACTTAGTGATAGTCACACTTAGTGAGACCACACTTGGAATACCATGTCCAACTCTGGTCACCTTTCTAGATCCTAGAAAGCATGCCGAGAACACTAGCAAAGGTGATAAGAGACCCGGAGGCTAAATCGTAGCTGAGGGGGTGAAGGATGGGGTGTCAGCTGTCCCACTCAAGTCAGTTTTGTCAATGGAAATAATGTCAAAGAAGAATGGTGGATAACATGGATCGCACTGAGTTATCCTGCACGGAATTGCCCATGCAGGACAATTGTTCACTCTCCTGCTTGGAGGGCAGGGTTAGACTGGATGACCTACAAGGTCCCTTCCAACACTGTTCATCTGTTAACATCATGTTGTCCCATAGCAAGTTAGCTGTGGCAAATTGACCTAGACCATTGAGAGTCACATCAGGGTTGTGTTTGACCTTGGGAGGGGGGCTGGGGGGGGGGGGAGGACCGGGGGGGGCGAGGCCAAGGTGGCCAAGCCAGCTCAACATCACTCATGTTGGGGGCGCCTGTGGCAGCCCGAGCACTCTGCCACCGAAAATGGGCTCCCGACCTCTGCTTTCCGCTGCAACCCTCTGCCAGCAAAAACGGAGCTCAGCGGCCCTCCTGAGCTCCGTTTTTGCTGGCAGAGGCACCGCGGGCCAATCCTTCACTGTTTCCAGGGCCGGATCTTAAGCACCCAGCAGGCCAGATCCGACCCCTGGGCCTCGAGTTTGAAACCCTTCACCAAGCTTTCCTCCTCTCCAGCGACGCAACCCTAGGAGCCCCCGACCAGAGGTTTTAAGCAACCCGGGGACTTACGCCTTGACGTCTGCTGTTTCTTGGGAGGTGCGGGTCAGGGTCCGGGAACGCAAGCGCTCCCCAGCCTGTTGGATCTCCTGGAGATTGCGTTCGACGTGAGGAAGCTCCGCGATGCCTTCCGTCTCGGCTGCCAGCTGCTCTGCCTGCTGCAGCAGCTCGCCAAACCCTTCCGCGTCCATCTGCAGGCCTGGATGTAATGTGGAAGGCCTAGGGAAGCAAGAACAGAAGCTACAGTCACGTCAAGTCAGACTGAAACACTAATCACTGATCTACTCTACCTTTTCGGATTGCAAGGAGTCCTCGAGTTATGACACTTGGGGCCGGAGTTTCCCCTAAGCAAGGCAGAGGTCGTGCCCCATCTTATGAATTTTTCCCCCCATAGTTGTTAAGTGCTAAGTTAACCCCTATTCCTCCTCTTCGTTAGGTTAGATATACCTAATTTCCCTTAAACCTGTTTTTCATACGGTTTAGCCGTTTCCCCCCTAGGTTGGCATCGTTTGCAAATTTGATGAGTTCCCCTTCTATCCCTTCATCCTTCTGGACCATTTAGGAAGACGTTGAAGAGCACTGACCCCAAGGCAGAACGGGCTCTGGTACCCTACTGCATGCTTGCCTCCAGGTAGGGGTAGTTTCATCAAGGACTACTGGAGAGGTAGTCCTCAACGTATAAGCCCAAAATTTCTGTTGCTAAGTGAGACAGTTGTTAAGTAAATTTTGCCGCCTCTTACAATCGTTCTTGTTACCTGTTGTTAAGTGAATCACTGCAGTTGTTAAGTTAGTAACATGGTTAAGTGAATCTCACTTCCCCATTGTCCAAAGGTCACAAAAGGGGAATCGCATAATTCTGTGACCCTGAAACTGACATAAATATGAACCAGTTGCCAAGCATATGAATTTTGATCACATACCCATGGCGACGTTGCAGTGGTCGTAAGTGTGAAAAAGAGCCACGAGTCCATTTTTTTAAGTGTTGTTGTAACACTGAAGGGTCACTAAAGAGTTGTAAGTCGGAGACTGTCTGTACATGCTGGGTGCAGTAAATTCATTTGTGGTGGTACAATCCTACGTTGTTCTACCTATCTTACCAAGAAGTAGGCTATGAATAGAATAGAATAGAATAGAATAGAATAGAATAGAATAGAATAGAATAGAATAGAATTCTTTATTGTCCAAGTGTGGTTGGACACAGAAGGAATTTGTCCTGGTGTAAATACTCTCAGTATTGACACTCAGTATACATAAAAGAAAAGATACATTTGTCAAGAGTCAAGAATCATCAGGTACAACACTTAATAATAGTCATAGGGTACAATAAACAATCAAATCATACTAGGAAACAGTCCATATAAATCATAAGGATACAAGTGACAAAGTTACAGTCATTCAGTCCCAAGTGGGAGGGGATGGGTGATAAGGAGTGATGAGAAGAGTAACAGTAATTGTAGTACAGACTTTGTAAATAGTTGGACAGTGTTGAGGGAATTATTTGTTTAACAGAGTGATGGCGTTCGGGAAAAAAATTGTTCTTGTGTCTAGTTGTTCTACTCCAAGCTGTCAAATTCCCGGCCATTCAATGATTGATTGATTGACTTGATCACGTTGATTACTACCTGTCCATTACCTAGATCAGGGTTGTCAAACTCCCAGCCAATGGGCCGGATGCGTCACGTGCTGGCCACACCCACGCCCAGTTTCTTGAAGGGGGGGGAAGTCCCAATACATTACATGACACCGTCGTGATGACGTGTGAGTTTGACACCCTGGTCTACTCTATCCAATTCCTTACTGAAATCTAAGTATACCATATCCAGAGCATTTCCTCGATCCACTAATTTAGTCCCTTTATTGTCAAAGAAGGCAATAGGGTCGGTCTGTCTGGCATGATCTGCTTTTAACAAACCCGTGCTGTATCACCCGGAAATGGAATACAAACAGTGGAGACCAGCTGCACCAATCAAATTATCGGCCAGACTGCAAAGAATTTTATGTGCAAATCTGCTTGCTGGCATGCAGCCATACTTTAAGGAATGGCGCTCGCAGAAATTCAGCACCGATAAAGGATCAATGGATGGATAACGAGGAGCTAAATAATGGAACTGTTCAGGTCTGGATGCAAAGATAAGACCATCTTTATTACGCTTTGGGAAATTTAGGGTAAGTACTGTTCAACTTTCAGAAGTGCATCCATAAGCCACTTGCGGCTCAAGGAAAAAGAAAAAAAGTCTTTTTTTTTATTTAAATCTTTAATTTCCCCCAAATATCCAAAATAGCAATAGCATTTAGAATTATGCACGCTCCGTGGTATATAAGCACTATTAAATAGATGACACAAAAGCAAACTAGGAGACAGCAGCATGTCATAAAACAGTACAAATTCAAGAGTCAACCAAGATTAAAGGCCGGCATGGTGCAAGATATGGTCCTGCCTCTCTTTTTCTAGCACCCACATCTAGGGGCCATTGACTTTGCTCTACATACATGAGCGGATGTGGTAGGATTGGCAGATTTTTCATACAGATAGTCCTTGACTTACAATCATTTGTTTACTGACTGTTCCAAGTTACAACAGCATTGAAAAAAATTACTTAGGACTGTTTGCCACACTTACGACCATTGAAGCATCCCCGTGGTCATGTGATCAACATTTGGACACGTGGTGACTGACATATATGACGGTGGCAGTGTCCTACGGTCAAATGGAATGGAATGGAGAAGAGAATGGAGAAGGGAAGGGAAGATGGAAGGGACCTTGAGGTCTTCTAGTCCAGCCCTCTGCTCAAGTAGGAGAACAATACCATTTCAGACAAATGGCTGTCCAGTCTCTTTTTAAAAACCTCCAGTGATGGAGTGCACACAATTTCTGGAGATAAGTTGTTCCATTGGTTAATTGTCCTCACTATTAGGAATTTTTTCCTTAATTCCAAGCTGCTTCTCTCCTTGATTAATTTCCATTGATTGTTTCTTGTCCTGCCTTCGGGTGCTTTGGAGAATAATTTGAACCCCTCTTCTTTGGGGCAGCCCCTCCAATACTGAAATACTGCTATCATGTCACCCCTAATTTTTATTTTATTTAGACTAGCCAATCCTTTTGCGACCTTCTGACAAGCAAAGTCAATGGGAAGCCAGATTTACTTAAAAATCACGTTGCCAACAACAGCAGTGATTCACTTATCAATGAAATGATTCACTTATCAAGAAATGTCATTAAATGGAGCAAAACCCACTTAACAACTGTCTGTTTGATAACGGAAAGTTTGGCTGTAAGTTGAGGCATATTTGTATTTACCTCTAGGCGTCCAAGTCCGATCCAGAAAGATCAGAAATGTTGCAAACTATTTGTTTCTTTCATTTCCAAAGCCCCAAACCTCACTTAAATGCTTAGTTCAGTTATGCTTCAAATTCTTACGATGTTTGGGCAAAGACCAGCAGACAAAAAGTTTGCCCAGAAATGTAGTAATCCAATCACCATTTCTTCAAGAAAATCCACCAGGGGTTTCCATTCCAATATTAACACTTTTCACATCTATTCCTGCGTAGGAGTCATTTCAAAGTACTCTCAGGGAAGAAGCTGCTGTGCCAAAGGCAAGCAGCAATCTGCTAAGTGCTTTAAAAGCCAAATTTACGAGGCTTTTATTTTCACCAAGCCAGCCTCCTAAACAGCACTGTAGATTTACTTTTTTTTCCCCCTTCCGATTCCCCGCTGTCTTCTCGGATGCTTTATTGTCATGTGAAGTTGGGTCTAATTTGACAATCTTGAAGAATTCCCAAGGGGTTTCCAGCCAGCCTCTCTCCTCCATTGTGTTACAGAAAACATTTCACGATTAAATTGGGAATTGCGCAAAGCATATTTGACAAGTCAGACAAAGTGGTGAAGAGATGGGTATGAAACTCCCTTTACCAACAATCCTTCACATCCAAAAATGAACAAGCGGTGGGAATTACTGGGGTGGAATCTGGCAGCGGAGCTGCAGGAAAGAAACCAAGAAGGGATCCTCCCTAAATAAATCTTCACCACTATTTATCTGACAGTTACGCAGAGTGTACTTTAGTCTGGCAAGATTCCGGTCTGTGGGTGAATGGCAATTTTAAAAAAACTTCTCCCCCGAGCAGTTCATTATGTTGTTCTTGTTTTCTTGTGCCTACCATTAATCTAGATTTAGGGACAGTGCCTTCTGGATCTCTCTCTGCATACCAAGCCTTTGTTCTGCATTCTCAGCGCATTCTGCACTTCTTGGTTTACAACAACAGACGATTCGAAGGTATGACGGCACTGAAAAAGGTGACTTAGGATCATTTTTCACACTTATGACCGCTGCAGCATCCCCCTGGCCATATTGTCAGGATTCCGGCAGTTACCCCACCCCCATTTAAATCATGAGTCTCGAGCCAAACTTCCAAAACTTCAAAAGGATTTATTGGGAGTTAAAAAGTCCAGCACTGCCTGGGTGTAGCCGACTCTGAGGCACATCATTCATTGTCACCCTTGACCCTGGTTTTTCCCCCATCCCTCTGGGTGCATCGTAATTCATATTCTCCAATGGGACACATCCATAGCCAAGAGTCATCAATCGTGCTCTCCAGTTGGAATTTTGCATGGCAGAAACTTCGGTCACCTAGTTACTATCTTTGAAAACATTTATGGAACGCGCTTTCGGTTTTGCAAGCTTCTGCACTGCTCCTCCCTCCTTCTCTTGGTATCTCTAAAAAGACCATAGAAATATTTTATGAGTTGACACACGTGATCAAAATTTGGACGCTTGGCAACTGATTCATACTGATGACGGTTGCAGTGTTTCCTGGGGTCATGACATCCCCTTTTGCGTCCTTCTGACAAGCAAAGTTAATGGGGAAGCCAGATCCCCTTAACAACTGCAGTGATTTACTTAACGGCGGAGGCAAGAATGGTTCTAAAATGGGGCAAAGCTCATTTAACAACTGTCTCACTTAGCAACAGGAATTTGGGGCTCAATTGTGGTCCCTAAGAGAAGGACGACCTGTACTGATCTTTTTCCCCGCAAATAACATTAGCATGAAACTTCCAATAATATATTTCTAACTCAAAGATGATTTTCTTCAGCTATCCACCCCAGATTTGCAAACCATGGATATGTGGCCAGGAGCATAGAAGCCCAAAGCTCATTGGTATAACATCAAGCCACAGGAACGGCCGGAAAGTCATTGGCTAAAGATTATGGATATTACTGCAA